TTTCATCCCCAAACAGGACAACTTAGACAGTCACCCAAATGCACCATGTTCACAGGCTTTACAAATGTTCATTCCTCTTTCTTACTATCTCCCTTGTGTTTGAAAAAAAAAAAAAAAAAAAAAAGGCTGTAGATGAAGATAAAACAATCTTTCCTTAGACTTCTTAAAACAACTATTTTCTAAATAACTCACTTGCCAATCAAATATTACATTTTATCTTGTAATGTTTACCTTACTGAGTTCATGTGATGACATGGGCACTATAGAGTGCTAGAGATAGCTAAAACACAAGCTGGGCCTCCAGGAGCTTGTAATTACTAGGAGAGAGAAATATGCACACAATAACCAAATAATCTGAGTGAGAGTCAGAGTGGCTTCCACCTCTACAATGAAACCTCTGCATGGGAGTAGGGAATGTACCTGGGACAGGGAGAGGTAGTAGAAGTGGACAGAACAATTGATAAGGCCCAGATCTAGGCAGGAGGGGATCTACAACAAAGTGAAAAGAATTGAACTTAGGAGGAGAAATCAAGATGGCAGCATAGATAAACACCTAAACTGCTGCCTCGCACAACAATTTCAAAACTACAATTAAAAGACAAAACGAACATCATCCAGAACCACAAAAAAGCTGGCTGAGTGGAAATTCTACAACTAGAAGGAAAGAGGAAAGCTAACAGAGAATCAGAGGAGCTGCAAAAGGCTAAGATATGGAGACAGGTGCATGGCAGAATGCCTGGCTGGCTTTCTCTAGTGGGAAGGAGACAAAAGCTCCCAACTGCGCTGAACCCCATTCTGACTGCACTGAACCCCAGGCCTGGGTGAAACCCTGTGAACCCAGGCTTATACGGGGGGAATCTGGACTGTCAGGAAACTCAGGGGAGCCTTGAAAGGCAGAGGTCTAGAGGTACAGGAGCAAGTGCACGCAGAGTGGACTGACTGCTGAGTGCCACTGGCTTTCCCTAGTGGGTGGGAAATGAAAGCTTCCCCACCTCACTAAACTCCAGTTCTGGGTGAGAATCTGGAAATCCAGATTCATTGGGTGAGAAACTGGACTGTCTGGCAGCGGGCGAAACTCGAGGGCGGCTTACTCTTAGAGGTGCTTGCAGTGATTACCAAGGGACACTGAGACGCAGATCCATCATAGGGCAGGGATGACAGGAAACCAAGACTGTTTGTTCAACCCTGAGAATTTGCCCCATCCAAGCTGAGCAGAGGCTTTTGCAATTTTTTCAAGTCTGGTCCCATAAAGCTGTCTCCAGCACAGAAGGTCTCCTGGCTGAACCTAACAGCCAATTGGCCTAAAGGTCAATTCCTCCCAGTGACACCAACATCAACCAAGACTTAACTAAAATAAGGCTGTACACATAGTCCACAAAGGGGTGCACCAAGAGTGTCTCTATCCCTCTCTCTTCCTCTCTGTAAAAAATCAATTTAAAAAAAAATTTTTTAATTTTTTTTTTTTAAATTTTTTAAAAAGCGTGTCCACCTCAGGTAACTGGGGAGGCTGACCCACTGGGCCATATAGGAAACCTAGCACACAAAGGTACCCTACCAAATCAAGGAAGCAACAAAAATGTGGAGACAAAGAAATAGATCACAAACAAAAGAAATTGAGGAAAACAAACAACTGGATATAGAATTTAAAACCATGGTTATAAGGTTTTTCAAGAATTTCCTAGAAAAGGCATTGGAAAGACCCTCAAGGATATGAAATTTAGCAAGACCCTCAAGGATATGAAAAAGGACCAACTAGAAATAAACATACACTGACTGAAATAAAAAATATTATACAGAGATCCAACAGCAGATTAGAGGAATGCAAGAATCAAGTCAAAGATTTGAAATACAAAAAAACAAAAAACATTCAACTGGGAAAGCAAAAAGAAAAAAGAATTCAAAAAGTTGAAGATAGTGTAAAAAGCCTCTGGGACAACTTCAAGCATACCAGCATCAGAATTATGGGGTTCCCAGAAGAAGAGAGAGAGCAAGATACTGAAAACCTATATGAAGAAATAATGACCGAAAACTTCCTCCACCTGGTGAAAGAAATAGACTTACAAGTCCAGGAAGAGCACAGAACTCCAAACAAAAGGAATCCAAAGAGGAACACACCAAGACACATCATAATTAAAATGCCAAGGGCAAAAGCAAAGAGAGAATATTAAAAGCAGCAAGAGAAAAACAGTTAGTTACCTACAATGGAGCACCCATAAGACTGTCAGCTGATTTCTCAACAGAAAGTATGCAAGCCAGAGGGAGTGGCAAGAAATACTTAAAGTGATGAATAGCAAGAAGCTACAACCAAAATCACTCTACCCAGCAAAACTATCATTCAGAATTGAAGGTCAGATAAAGAGCTTCACAGATAAGAAAAAGCTAAAGGAGTTCATCCTCACCAGTATTATGAAATGCTGAAAGGTATTCTTTAAGAAGAGGAAAAAGAGGTAAAGATAAAAATTATGAACAACAAATACATATCTATCAACGAGTGAATCTAAAAATCAAGTGAATTAATAATCTGATGAACAGAATAAACTGGTGAATATAATAGAATTAGGGGCATAGGGACTGAAAATTCTCAGGGGGAAAGGGGTGTGAGGGGGTGTGGGAAGAGATTGGACAAAAATCATACACCTATGGATGAGGATAGTGGGGGGGAGGTAAGGGTAGAGGGTAGGTTGGAAACCCGGTAGAGGGGCACCAGACCAAGGCAGGGCACCAGTCCTGGTGGAGGGGGAAGAGGAACAAATATAATAATCTGAACAATAAAGATTTATTTAATTTAAACAGAAGGCAGCACTTTATATATATATATATATATATATATATATATATATATATATATATATATATATAATAAAAGGCTAATATGCAAATAGACCAAATGGCAGAACAACCAATCAGTGGCTATCATGTACTCTCACCACCAGGGGGCGTAGGCAGAACATGGCAGGCGTTGGCCATCACGGGATGGTGGAGCAGGTGAGTAGGGGCACCAGACCAAGGCAGGGCACCAGTCCCTGTCCTTTGCTTTCATCAGGCAAGCCTCTGGTGGTTACTGAAAATTCTTTGCTACCACTCACCACAGTCCCACCTGGCGCTTGCACCTGCTGCTGGTGCTGGCCCTGCTACACCCGGTGCTGGTGCTGGAGTCGCCACTCGTACCCACTGCCAGTGCTAGCTCCACTAGTACCTGCAACCAGCACCAGAGCCACCGCTTGCACTCGCTGCCAGTGCCCAGAGCTGGTTCTAATCACTCAACTCCATCAGCAGTTGTGAGCAGCGACTCCTGGCCCTGATTCTCCACCTTCCCCTGCTCCTCGGGGGAGATCGGGGCAGCAGCCAGCACACACACACACCCACTGCTGGTGCCAGCCCCATTTGCTCTGCACCATCAGTGGGTGGGAGCAGGGTCGGAACTGTCAGTGTGTGGGAACAGCAGCAGCAGGAGTGGGCTGCCTGCAGACAGGGGACTGGGGGCCATGGTGGGAGGGGCTGGGCAGGATCGTGGAGAATGGGTAGAGACCTGCCCCTGTTCTTGCAGCCCACAGTTCCTTTCAAGGTACACAAATTCGTGCGCTGGGCCCTTAGAGAGAGAGAGAGAGAGAGAGAGAGAGAGAGAGAGAGAGAGAGAGGGAGAGAGAATTGATTTTAGAGAAGAAGGGAGAGGGAGAGAGATAGAAACACCAATGATGAGAGAGAAGCATTGATCTGCTGCCTCCTGCATGCCTCCTTCTGGGGATCGAGCTTGCAACCAAGGCATATGCCCTTGACTAGATTAGTACCTGGGACCCTTAAGTCCACAGGCCAACACTCTATCCATTGAGCCAAACCAGCTGGGGCCACAAGGCAGCACTTCAATCTAAAAACAGAAAGGAATGAGAGTAGACACTGCCTTCACAGCTTGTTGTTGTTGCTAATCCTCACCCAAGGATATTTTTTCCATTTATTTTTTATTTTTTATTTTTAGAGAGTGGAAAAATGGGGGAGACACAGAGAGAAACATTGATGTGAGAGAAACACATTGATTGGTTGCCTCCCACACGGCCCAGGCTCGAGGATAGAGCCTGCAACCCATGCAGCTGCCCTCAACTGGAATTAAACCCGCGGCCCTTCGTTCTGCGGGTGTACACTCTAACAACTGAGCCAACCCAGCGAGGGCCACAGTTTTGTTCTAGAACATGCACAATTATGCTCCCCTTTCCTCTGAGAAACCAGAGCCTTTCATTGGAGAACTATTTGCACAGAAGAGAAGGAAACAGGTAACATGAAGGTCATGGAGATTGAGGCGTAGGAAGAATAAAATACTAATGAGGACCTAAGATCTGAGCTGGGCCTGTTATTGTCAAGGTGCAGAGAGATGTGCTCTGCCTTCTGGCGTAACCAAATACAGGGAGGTGGGCTCACAAAGGCAGCCCAGGCCGGAGGCTGATGGACACTTCTCTTCCATTATTTTACATCCCTGGGCCCCGGATCAAAGACTTCATCGCACCTGTGCAGGATTCCTTATGTGTTCACACATCTTATCTATAGGATGTGATTCTACAACTCTCCAGAGGAAAGGCTCATGCTCCTGTGTGTTAACAAGGCAATGCTGGTGAGGTCGCAAACGAGTCATGAGTAAGGGCGGCATCTGAGCATTAAACTGTTGCACAGGAAGAGTTGAGACCCACCATTTTACACACAGCGGTGAGCAAAAGTAGGTTGACAGTTTTTCATACAGAAAATAGTATAATAATTAATAAATAACAATACAAGAACAAACTGTTTCTGGTACTCCCAACTGTAGCCCTACTATTGCCTATCCCCTGTATTTACAGCTTACATAATGTAATTCGGTGAAGAGCAAGGGAAAACTACTTCATTTGTTTCAGATTTAGCACCTTCCACTGAAGTTGAGTGTTCTAGACCCTAGATCAAGGATTTTATGAGATATGTATTTATGTCTCCATAGCAACACATACACATACACACATTATTATATACAGACTCACAGATGAAGGGAGGAGATAGATTTATTCATTCAATACTCGCTATGCCAGGCAGTGTGTCAGCTTAAAGATATGCTGATAATGCTAATAAATGTGGTTCTTGCTCTCAAGGAACTTAAAGCCTAATGGAATTACTAATGAGACTTGGCAAAGTTAGGAATGCATGCCAACACAATCCCCCAGCCAGACTCATGATAGGAAGTCTGATTCCTCTGATCTAACGGTCTGATTGCAGCTTAGTCTTTAGTTGGCAGCCCTCTTCCTCTTACACAGCAAGTGGTCTATGGGACAGCACTGCTTTGTCCCGAGGGCACCAGGCTTTGTCCTGCAGCCACTGTGTAGAATCCCTGCAATATGCAAGGAAGAACACATGTCAATCACGAGTGTAAAAACAAGTAAGCATGTTCTGTTTCTCTCCTATAGTCCTTGCTCTTCCTGAAGTTGGTAATTCAAGGCTATAAGAAACAGGTTTAAAGAGTAAGAGAGAGGTTAAAAAACAGCCCTGTCTATATAAATGTAATTAAAATTTCCTTGGAAGTCAGTGCATATGCTGAAGGACAGTTAACTCGGAAGTACTGGTTGAATTTCCTGGAAAATAAAGTGATCAGAGGCTACTGTGCTTCTCAGAAATCACAAGCCAGGTCTACGCGAGTCCTTCAGCACTGAGTAGCCAGGACCTTCTCCCAGGGAAGCTGAGCAGCATCCTGCCTGGAGCCGGAATACCACTTTCGTGCCAGCATCGCCTCCGACACGTTAGCTGGGGCCAAAATTCTTGTCTAACACTCAAGCAAAAGGGCCCCATCCTGATGCGTTTTCCTCATGTCTAAGCTGGCTGTGATTTAAAAAAAAACCACAAACCCCACATCTTGCCTTAGATGGTGTGGCTCAGTGGATAGAGCCTGGGCCTGCAGACTGAAGAGTCCCAGGTTCCGGCCAAAGGCACATGCATGCCCTGGTTGAGAGCTCCATCCAAAGTAGGGGCCTGCAGGAAGCAGCCGATCAGTGGTTCTCTGTCATCATTGATGATTCTCTCTCGCTCTCTCTCTAAAATCAGTAAAAATATACATTAAAAAACACACACAAAAACAACACATCTTTATGCTGTGGCATCATCCGCACGACTAGAGCGATAACTGCTTTGCTTTAGGGCGCTGCACTATCAACCACTCAGGAGCACGATTTTTAACGTTAAAAGTATAGGAGACAGCCTCTCCCCCAAACCTGCGGGTGGAAGGAACCCGCAGAAGCGCGCACTGCTCCTTCCACACCAGCCGTCCAGGAGCCGCACCCCGGCGACCCACCCGCCCTCCGGCCCCTGGTCAGGCGGCGACAGAGCCGTCCCCAAGCCCAGGGTGCTCCGCAGCCGGTGCCGCACAGGCCACTGCCCAGCCGGCAGCCCAGCCCGCAATCACGCTCCGCCGGGAGGCAGCAAGAGACCGCGCCCCGACCCCGGGCCCAGCGCCGGGCGTCCCACGCTGGGCTCCGCCCGCCCGGAGGCCGGCCCACCAGGTGGAGAGGGAGCCACCAGCCCCGCCAAGGCCTCCCACCGCCCCGCCCACTCAAGCCCCGCCCACAACCGCTTCACGCACCCACCCCGCCCACCCCGGGAGTGCCGTGCGCCCAGCCCGGGCCCCGCCCCGCCTCCTGCGCGCTGACGTCACACGCAGCCTGCAGGCGGCCGGGAGGCGTCCCCTCAGAGGGGCGCTGGTGCTCGGCTGGAGGCACCTCGGCTGGGACCGGACGCGCTGGTAGAGCGGCTGGGCGGCGGACGATGAGAGACGCCGGGGGCCCGGGCCTGGTGGCCGACGCCGCACGGGCCGAGCCGGCTGGCGCGGCGCTGAGCGTGGACGTGGTGGGGCTGCTGGCGCAGCTGGCCCGCAGCTTCGCGCTGCTGCTGCCGGTGTACGCGCTGGGCTACCTGGGCCTGAGCTTCAGCTGGGTGCTGCTGGCGCTGGCGCTGCTCGCCTGGTGCCGGCGCAGCCGCGGCCTCAAGGCCACGCGCCTGTGCCGCGCACTGGCGCTGCTGGAGGACGAGGAGCGCGCCGTGCGCCTGGGGGTGCGCGCCTGCGACCTGCCGGCCTGGGTGAGTACGGCCCGACCCGCGGACCTGCCGACCCGCGTGCTCCCCGCCTGGTTCGCCGACCCCGCTCCTGCCCCCTTCCTGCTGGGTCTGGGGTGAGCGCCGGCGCGGGTCCAGCCGCGTCCCAAGTCTAGACCCCACTGACCTGTGGGCTCGCGTGCCCGCCCCTGCTGACCGCCCGTCCGTGTGCGCCTCGCCTCCACCCGTCCCGCCGCCGGAGGCGCGCCGCCCCGCCCTGCCGCCTACCATCCGGGTCGGGTGTCCGCTCCGCTGCCGCCCCCACCTGCCCACGCCGGTGTGTCCGCACCACCGGCTTCCCGGTCGGGTAGGGGCCGGTGTCGGTCCGGATCGTTGTCCGCGCGCTCGCCTGCGGCCCCGCAGCCCCTCCCGAAGGCGCCTTCCCTCGCCGCCGCCTCCCGCCGCGCCGTGGCTGGACCTGGGGGGGTGTGTGGGGGGCTCCGGGCGGCGGGGAGCGGCTTCCCCGGAGCCCGACCCCACCTGCGCCGCTGGAGGAGGGAGTGGCCTCGGGTGCCAACGGGGAAGTCGGTGTTTCTTCCCCAGGAGAGTAAGAGCTGGGGGCCCCGAATCAGACTTGCCGGAAGTAGCAGTATTTTAAGATAAGTAATGCTCACATCAGGGTTGATGTAAACTTCAAGTGAAAATGGCCAGCCGTGTGTCCAAAGGGTCATTTCCTCTTGGAGGAGAAAGGGCTTGGAGACCAAGAGGAAGCAGGAGGCCCCGAGGTCGCAAGCAGCGGGGCCCCTGGGCCGGGCACTGAGGGCGCGGCTGCCTGCAGGTGAGGGACAGCAGCTGCAGGAGGAACCGGAGGGCGGGCAGGCCTGTGGCACAGTATTTTGGAGAATGAAGTCACTAGAAGCAGGAAGGAGGAGGGGGTGCCCTTCGGATTTGCAGGAGTTCTCGCAGACAGCGTCTAGTGTCTGTGCCGGAAAGAAGCTAAATCACCAAAGCAGCAGGCCTCAGAGGGCTCAAATTCACAGGAACCCATGTGCTGACTTTCATATTTGGTCATCAAGCTGTTGGCTAATATCAGTTGGCTTATAAAAATCCTTGTGAAATGCACAGTTTTCACATACTAAATGAACAAATAACAGTTCCTACCATACTGGAGGGAGGAATGAATTTATATTTTCTCCAAAAATTTCACTTGTTTATTCCAAATTTGCATTTGCAGTTATATCACACACACACACACACACACACACACACACACATACACACACACTTAAACATACCCGCATTGCTTAGAAAACATCTGGAAATATTCACATGCAACTTGACAAAGCACTAGGGGGTTGGAATTGGAGGGGGATTTTTTTTTTAATAAACTTTTATTGTTCATATTATTACAAAAGTTCCTCATTTTTTCCCCCCTCCACCAGGTTCCCACCCCACCCTCTGCCCTTTCCCCACCCCCCATTGTCTTCATCCATAGGTGCACAGTTCAGTCTCTTCCCGCACCCCCCACTCCTTTTTCCTTGAGAATCAGCAGTCCACTCCTTGAGGGGGATTTTTTTTTTTAAGGAAAATCTTTTTTATACATTTAAAAACTTTTAATTATAGTTCATGTACAGTTTTATACCTTTTTATTATCATAATAAAAACCAGTGGATTACATTGTCTGAAAGAATGTCTGCTATTCTGCTTTAGCTAGGGATCAAAGCAACAATAGAAGATTTCTGTATTAGTAGTATTATTGATTTTTAAGTGCATACTTGGGTTCTTGGGGTTCTGAACTTTGGGCTGGTATTTTGCTTTGAATGAGATATATTTGTACACATTTTCTTTTCTTAAATATTTTTTTGTTGATTTCAGACAGGAAGGGAGAGGGAGAGAGATAAATATCAATGGTGAGAGCATCATTGATCTGCTGCCTCCTGAATGACCCCTACTGGGGATCCAGCCTGCAACCTGGGCATGTGCCCTGATGAGGAATCAAACTATAACCTCCTGGTTCATAGGTTGATGCTCAGGTGCTGAGCCACCCTTGGTGGGGCTGCACTCATTTTCATAATAGTTTGATTCCTAGCAGGATTGGAAGCAGAGGGAAATATGAATCAATGTGGTACCCACTTCCAACCCTGCTTTTGGATATGTTCATTTACAGTTTTTTATTTTATTTAGTAAAGTAAAAATTTACACTAAATATGAAAAATAATATAATTAAAGAATATTACTTTGAGAAAAAGTATATATTGTTTTTAATTAAGGCTACTAATATGTGAAAAATACCTCTCATTTAATATGTTGTAATTCTGTAAGACTTTGGTCCTGCAGCTTCATTGTAAACTGTATTCATCGCTCCTCTAAAAAAAAATTATTCACAAAAAGAAAAGGCCTGGTAAGTTTGAATTAATGGGTTAAGGATGGCCTTTTTTGTTGGACATACCAGTGTCTAACCTGTGTTGTAAAGTTTAGACTATGGGGGAAGAATATTCTTGAAGAGTTTTTGTGTAGATAAATAAGAACAGTATATATTTTCATTTAGTTGAAAAATTAGAATTTGGTAGGGTGCATTCTGCCCCTTTCCTGTTTTTTTTTTCTGCTGCCAATAAATGCTAATTCTATGGCTGCAGATAAGTAGAGACCCAAACCTGTCCTGTTCCTCAGTTGTCCGGACAGTTGGTTTCATTATCTGACACTTCTTCTATACATGTACCAGCTCTTCTTTGGAGGGAGCTCTCTTATCCTCATCCTGGGATGTTCAGGAGAATTTAACACCAGCCAACATTGAATATGGATAGTCTAAGAACCAAAATAACAAAACAAAAGAATGTACTCTGGTCTCATATAATAGGACAAATATTTGCTTTTATTCTCAATGTTAAACATTGACTTACACTTTATGGAAATTTTGTGAAGACACAGTATTTGTTGTAGCTAAATCAAGAACCAGTTTAGCTCTTTTAAACTGTGGTTGCAATTTTACCACTTAGATCCCAGAGTGATATTGTGCTCTGAGAAAAGGTTAGAGACCTCCTCAAGGCTGTGGAGGGGACACGGATGCTCTTTGGATTCTTGTTCACACACACGCTGCTGCTGCAGTTCAGAGAGGGAGTGACTGAGTATAGCAATGCTTGTGTTGTGGGGTTTAAATGCTTCATTAAGGTAGAAACGAATAAAGCAGTCAATATCTGCCTCACTTTACTTTTCAAGATCGGAGAATATAGAGCTAGGACCGAACTATAAATAATTTAAATAAATATGAGTTAAACACATGTAACATATTTATATTAAATTAACATACTGCATTAATTACCTATATATATAAAAAGCCAGCGACCAGAAGGCTGTAACAGCCAGAACAACCGGCCAAAACAACTGGTCACTATGACGCCCACTGCAGCCAAGGAAGGGCTTGATCAGTTGTGGGGCCGACTGGCCAACCTTCAGCCCCTCTCCCTGTCGCCCCCCATTGCCCCCCCCAATCAATCAGGTGGGGCCTGCTGGCCCAGCAACCACAGCCCCTGCCAACAGCCGGCCCTGACCCCAGTTGTCCCCCAACCCCAATCTGGAGTGGGGCCTGCTGGCCTGGCACTGATTAGGCCCTGATTGTGCACCGGGCCTCTAGTATTTTATTTTATAAAATATACTAGATAAATATATTTTATAAATATACTAGAGGCCCAGTGCACAAAATTTGTGCACGGGGAGGGGGTGCCCCTCAGTCCAGCCTGCACCCTCTCCAATCTGGGACCCCGTGAGAAATGTCCAACTACCTAGTTCTTACACAAATAATGTAAATGGGCGATTGGACATCCCTCTCAAAATCCAGGACTGCTGGCTCCCAACCTCTTGCCTGCCTCTGCCTGATTGCCCCTACCTGCTTCTGCCTGCCAGCCTGATCAACACCTAACTGCTCCCCAGCCACCCGATTGCCCTAACTGCCCTTCCCTGCTGGCCTGGTTACCCCTAACTGCCCTCCCCTGCCAGTCTGGTCACCCCTAACTGTCCTTGCCGCTGGCCTGATCGCCCCCAACTGCCCTCCCCTGCAGGCCTGGTCCCCCCCAACTGCCCTTCCCTGCCAGCCTGATCAACACCTAACTGCTCTCCTGCTGGCCTGATCGTCCCCAATTGCCCTCCCTTGACAGCCCAGTCATTCCCAAATGCCCTCCCCTGCATATTCCCTCTTTATTAGATAGGGGTTTTTTCTTTAACATATTGGACAGCCCTAACTGGTTTGGATCAGTGATGGAGCAAAGTCCTGCAGACTCAAGGGTCCCAGGTTTAATTCCGGTCAAGGCTATGTACCTTGGTTGGGGGCATATATACCCAGTGGGGACTGTGCAGAAGGCAGCTGATCGATATTTCTTTCTCATCGTGTTTCTAGCTCTCTATCCCTTTACCTTCCTCTCTGTAAAACATCAATAAAATATATATATAAAAATGAAACATTTAAGCCGAAACTGGTTTGGCTCATGGATAGAGCGTCGGCTTGGGGACTGAAGGGTCCTGGGTTCGATTCCGGTCAAGGGCATGTACCTTGGTTGTGGGCGTATACCCACTAGGAGGTGTGCAAGAGGCAGTTGATCAATGACTCTCATCGATGTTTCTAACTCTGTATCTCTCTCCCTTCCTCTTTATATAAAATCAATAAAATATATATTTTTTAAAATGAAACATTTAAGATTCCTCCATATCTGCCTGGCTGGTGTGACTCAGTGGCTGAGAACCCAGGCTGGGCCGGAGGGGGTCTCTGCATGGGTGCTGGTGCTGCTGCCAGCCTGAGACCCAGGCTGGGGGTGTGGACCCAAACCACAACTTGGTGCTGGAGCATTCCCAAGTGGCTGCACTCATAGGCTCAGAGTGGCCAGGGGGTGTTCTGGGACCCCTGCCACTCAGGGCCTATGAGCCTACAGGCTAGGAGCAGCCTGGGTCTGGAGAATGTTCCTGTTGCCTGGGAAACCCCAGCCTCCCTCCTGTTCTCTGTGGCCATAGCCATCTTGGTTGGGTTTATTTGCATACTCACTCTGATTGGCTGGTGGGTGTGGCTTGTGAGTGTAGTGGAGTGATGGTTAATTTACATATTACTCTCTTATTAGGTAGGATTTTATTTTATTTTTATTTTTAATATATTTTATTGATTTTTACAGAGAAGGAAGGAAAGGTATAGATAGTTAGAAACATCGATGAGAGAGAAACATCGATCAGCTGCCTCCTGCACATCCCCCATTGGAAATGCGCCCGCAACCTAGGTACATGCCCTTGACCGGAATCGAACCCGGGACCTTTCAGTCTGCAGTCCGACGCTCTATCCACTGAGCCAAACCGGTTTCGGCGAACCCGGGACCTTTCAGTCCACAGGCTAACACTTGATCCACTGAGGCAAACTGATTTCAGCAAAACTATTCTTAAATATATATATATTTTATTGATTTTTACAAAGAGGAAGGGAGAGGAATAGTCAGAAACATCAATGAGAGACAAACATCCATCAGCTGCCTCCTGCACACTCCCCGCTGGGGATGTGCCCGCAACCAAGGTACAATACATGCCCTTGACCAGAATTGAACCTGGGACCCCTCAGTCCACAGGCTGATGCTCCATCCATTGAGCCAAACTGGTCAGGGCTATCCTAAAAACTAATTGTATGCTTTAAATGAGGGAGTTGTATGATACTTGAATTATATCTTAATAGCACTGTTAAAAATGTAGGCATTGGATTTTTTTAAAAAATAAAGAAGTGAAAAGGGTGACCAACTATAGTTCAGATAAAGCCACAC